CAGTGGGTACGGAGGAATATGGCCAGGTTGTGTGTGCTCCAAGACTCACCTGGGAGAACGGGTGGACGTCAAAGGGTGGGATGAAGGGAGGCACAGAGATTGAGGGAAGCAGGAGGTGGAGCAGGGGCCCTAAAGATAAACCATGGTGGGGAATGGCCCTGGAGCCACTGAAGGGGGGAAGCTGTCAATCCACAGCATTGCTCTGTGCCACAGTAACTCCCAACTCAGTCCGATGTTAAAACAAATACATAGCCTGGAACACAGACCTGAGTCTCATCCCCTTCCCTAACGCCACCAAAAGGAAGCTGAGCCCGAGACTAAAGGGGGCATGGAAATGGGTTTCCTGGCTCCATAGGCTAAAGGCCCAAGGAAGACTCTGGAGTGCTCAGAGCTGGATCGACAATATGCCTGGCTTTCCAAACACTGTCTGGTAGAAATAATGTGAAAACCAGACTGCCTCCTGAATGCCTGGGTGCTGGTCCGGAAGAGAAGGTAGCCACACGTGGAAGGCAGAGACAAGCACATGGACGTCCAGTGTCTTTGCATCCCCAAGTGGCCAGACCACAAGACCCTGAGGGAGGGTCAAGGAAAAGCCACCATTGCATCAGTGGTTGTCAAGTGTGGTCCCAGGACCAGCAGCCACAGATCACCTGAGAACTTGTTAGAAGGCACATTCTCAGGCCCACATCGGGCTTGCTAAATCAGACGCTGCAGGAAAGGGTCCCTACAATCTGTTTTAAAACATCCTCCACCTGCACAGAGGCTCAAAGCCACAAAGTAGGTGACAAGCAGCTCAGTCCATTGCAAAAAGTCCTACCTGATCAGACCACACTAATGACTAAATCCCTTCACTGGCCCCTCCTGGCATGGCTCACCAGGTCCAAGGTCCTCCCTGATTCAGGCCCTGCTGCCCTTTGAGGGCCCTAAGTAGCTCTAACCTGTGGGGACTTCCGCAGTCCTCTAGAGAAGCAGTCAACATGGTCGCCAGCACTCCTCCACCACAGCACCCCTGCCCTTGTCTGCGAGGTACCCTCCCTGACCGCCCCTTTAGCATAAGGCCCCATCACGGCACTTGTCACTGCACTGTGGCCTCTGTCATAGCATTCACGGCAGATGTCAACTCCACGAGCTCCCCACCCCACTCCAGCACCCAGCAGGGGAGGGCAGAGAGGACTTACAAGAAAGCTCTGGTGATGGAATGAAGCCAAGTCTGAAACACACTTGACATTCCCGCTGTGAAACATATTATTCCTCAGTATTGGAAACAGTCTGACTTGTAATTGGGAAAAAAAGTGTTTGCTAAAGTTCTGAAAGCCATAAAGGGCCTTAGTGAGCAGGTAGACCCCTAGCAGTGGGACAGAGAGGACATCTGCACACCTGGGGGCGGTCGAGTAACAAGGGATGCAGGAGTCCAGCACAAAGAGGATGGGAAGCTCTCTCACACCTTGCATACCCCAGAACCCCAGGTTCCCCCAGTCCTCCATCAAGTCAAGCTTGAACTACACAGAAGACTGCAAGGAGCCTCTTTGCATTTCAAAACCTCACACAATCCCAGTGGCTCTCAGGGAACTCTCCTCCCCATTCTAGGCAACTTCTGGGTGGCCACAGCTCCTTGTCACTTAGGTGTGGTATCCTGGATGCTTAGGAGCCCAGGGTCCAAGGTGTGTCCCCAAATTGGCTCTAGAGGGAGAGGCAGGATCCTCCTCCACACTGCCCACAGAAGACCAAGCAAGGGAGGGGATACTCCAGGGATCTGGAGGAGAGCTGGCCAGGCAGAAAAATTAAAGGAGGAGCATCCCCTTACTCCTCCCTCCAGGAAAACAAAAAAAAGATCCTTTCCCAAGCACCAGTTGGCAGGTAGGAGCCTGCCTCCCTCCAGTCTGGACACCCAATCCTAAAAAGAACCCAGGCTCTTTAATCTGTCTCCTGCAGGCCTAATCTGGCCAAAAGTTGACCTTTGGGAGAAGATGGGTGAGAACAAGAGACACAGGGGCCTGACAGCCACGCAGGACCTGTCCGAAGGATCTTACTCTCCCTGGGCCTCAGATTTCATCAAAACACTGCCTCCCCCCTAGAACTAGACAGAACACTACCTTATGGGGAAAGGGAGAGCATCAAGGAGTGTGGTAGGGGAAGAAGGGTCAAGTCTGGCTGTAATCAACTTGCCTGCTTCAAAGCTGGGGATCAAGATGGCCTGATATGTTAGGGAGTGGGTAATTCCAAAGTCTCCCCCTGGTCCCTGGGACAGTGGGGGGCGGGGGGGGGTCAGGAAGAGGTCTGGCGCGTGGGGAGGGGGGGGGGCGGGGGGGGGTCAGGAAGAGGTAGGAATACGAGGGGTGGGTCTCCTTCCAGTCTGGCCTGATAGGAAGACCCCGGAGGAACTGACAGGCTCGGGGTGGTGCGCTCTTGGACATAGCGCTTTTCAACAGGAAAAGCACCCCTGGGGGTTCCCGGAGCAGCTCCAGTACAAAAGGCCGTCCGGACTAGGAAACCTGGCGCGCGGGTGGGGCGAGGCGGGACGGGGCGGGGCGTTTGGAGAGATTTACATATACACATTTAGAGACAGCGGGTCCGGATCTACCACCAAAAATGCTGTGTAATATCGGGCGAATCCCCTCCCAGCTCTGCACCTCTATTTATCACCTACAGGGTGGGTGTGCGGAATTGGGGGCGTAGGGGGAGATGGGGGTAAACGCTCCTTTAAGTCCAAGACATTTCCGACTCTGATTTGACTCCTCAGAGCCAGAAGGGTTGGCTGGGTCTTTCTTCCTTGGGCAAGGCTGGACGGATGCTCTCGTTCGGACAGTGGGCTCACAGAGGAGGCACTCTGAGAGCAGCCTTGACAGACACGGTGTCAGAAGGTCGAGGACCCGGAGAATGCGCGTGGGTGGGGGAAGAATCACCAAGCAGCGCGCGAGCTCGGTATTAGCCCGAAGCTACTGTAGGGACATCACCTGAGAACTTGTTAGAAGGCACATTCTCAGGCCCACATCGGGCTTGCTAAATCAGACGCTGCAGGAAAGGGTCCCTACAATCTGTTTTAAAACATCCTCCACCTGCACAGAGGCTCAAAGCCACAAAGTAGGTGACAAGCAGCTCAGTCCATTGCAAAAAGTCCTACCTGATCAGACCACACTAATGACTAAATCCCTTCACTGGCCCCTCCTGGCATGGCTCACCAGGTCCAAGGTCCTCCCTGATTCAGGCCCTGCTGCCCTTTGAGGGCCCTAAGTAGCTCTAACCTGTGGGGACTTCCGCAGTCCTCTAGAGAAGCAGTCAACATGGTCGCCAGCACTCCTCCACCACAGCACCCCTGCCCTTGTCTGCGAGGTACCCTCCCTGACCGCCCCTTTAGCATAAGGCCCCATCACGGCACTTGTCACTGCACTGTGGCCTCTGTCATAGCATTCACGGCAGATGTCAACTCCACGAGCTCCCCACCCCACTCCAGCACCCAGCAGGGGAGGGCAGAGAGGACTTACAAGAAAGCTCTGGTGATGGAATGAAGCCAAGTCTGAAACACACTTGACATTCCCGCTGTGAAACATATTATTCCTCAGTATTGGAAACAGTCTGACTTGTAATTGGGAAAAAAAGTGTTTGCTAAAGTTCTGAAAGCCATAAAGGGCCTTAGTGAGCAGGTAGACCCCTAGCAGTGGGACAGAGAGGACATCTGCACACCTGGGGGCGGTCGAGTAACAAGGGATGCAGGAGTCCAGCACAAAGAGGATGGGAAGCTCTCTCACACCTTGCATACCCCAGAACCCCAGGTTCCCCCAGTCCTCCATCAAGTCAAGCTTGAACTACACAGAAGACTGCAAGGAGCCTCTTTGCATTTCAAAACCTCACACAATCCCAGTGGCTCTCAGGGAACTCTCCTCCCCATTCTAGGCAACTTCTGGGTGGCCACAGCTCCTTGTCACTTAGGTGTGGTATCCTGGATGCTTAGGAGCCCAGGGTCCAAGGTGTGTCCCCAAATTGGCTCTAGAGGGAGAGGCAGGATCCTCCTCCACACTGCCCACAGAAGACCAAGCAAGGGAGGGGATACTCCAGGGATCTGGAGGAGAGCTGGCCAGGCAGAAAAATTAAAGGAGGAGCATCCCCTTACTCCTCCCTCCAGGAAAACAAAAAAAAGATCCTTTCCCAAGCACCAGTTGGCAGGTAGGAGCCTGCCTCCCTCCAGTCTGGACACCCAATCCTAAAAAGAACCCAGGCTCTTTAATCTGTCTCCTGCAGGCCTAATCTGGCCAAAAGTTGACCTTTGGGAGAAGATGGGTGAGAACAAGAGACACAGGGGCCTGACAGCCACGCAGGACCTGTCCGAAGGATCTTACTCTCCGAAGACCCCGGAGGAACTGACAGGCTCGGGGTGGTGCGCTCTTGGACATAGCGCTTTTCAACAGGAAAAGCACCCCTGGGGGTTCCCGGAGCAGCTCCAGTACAAAAGGCCGTCCGGACTAGGAAACCTGGCGCGCGGGTGGGGCGAGGCGGGACGGGGCGGGGCGTTTGGAGAGATTTACATATACACATTTAGAGACAGCGGGTCCGGATCTACCACCAAAAATGCTGTGTAATATCGGGCGAATCCCCTCCCAGCTCTGCACCTCTATTTATCACCTACAGGGTGGGTGTGCGGAATTGGGGGCGTAGGGGGAGATGGGGGTAAACGCTCCTTTAAGTCCAAGACATTTCCGACTCTGATTTGACTCCTCAGAGCCAGAAGGGTTGGCTGGGTCTTTCTTCCTTGGGCAAGGCTGGACGGATGCTCTCGTTCGGACAGTGGGCTCACAGAGGAGGCACTCTGAGAGCAGCCTTGACAGACACGGTGTCAGAAGGTCGAGGACCCGGAGAATGCGCGTGGGTGGGGGAAGAATCACCAAGCAGCGCGCGAGCTCGGTATTAGCCCGAAGCTACTGTAGGGACTCGGAACAAGAGCGGTGCCTCGGTTTCCCCGGGCGCACGGTGGCGGAACCTCCCGGCGAGGCCAAGCAGCCCCTTACCTTGTCCTTCTTGCCGGCCCCGCTCTCCTCCGCCGCCGAGGCGGCGCACTTGTTGAGCAGCTTCTTGCCTCCGCAGGCCGTCGGGCTCCAAGTGCGGCCGCCAGAGCAGGAGCCCCCCGGGGGATCCCCGGCAC